GTAAATTCACGTCTGTACAGTAGAGGGCGCAGCTCAAACAAATTGAAGAATGAGCAGGAGAAGAAAGTTCAACACTATTCAGCAATAACAAAAATCAAACAAATGCGTCAGTTTTGCTTGTTAGTACGGTTGAATTGAATCATCGAAGGTCAGTAGCAAAGACATTGGTTAATAAAATGGGATTAAATACAAATGATTGTCTTAACATTTAATTGCAGGTTTATAATATTCTGAGTTTGCATTTGATGTGTTTGTGTGCAGTGAGAGGAGTAAACACATGTTGATATTTAGTCTAGAACTACAGTAAGATCACATTCACACACAGCGCTCTGCACTTACTCCTGATTTATTTCACTATGGCAACACCAGAGCTGTCACTCAATACATGGATACAAAGTAACTAGCATTACTCATTTGAAAAAGTAACTCCGATATTTCCTTCTAAATTAAAAAGTAATGTTACTTTACTAGTTACTTGAAAAAAGTAATCTGATTACGTAACTTGCGTTACTTGTAATGCGTTACCCCCGACACTGCTGCTGACACCATATGAGGTTAGTTGGACAGTCGTGAGGTGCTCTCATACATGCAGTCTTTTGCAGAAAATTACTGGTAAATTACCATTAGTTCATGCCTGCCATCTTAAGGTTCTTGTACTTGTGGTCCAGGCCGCTGGTTTGTCCTGCAGGTGCTTTGGGCGTTATCTAAAATGAAGGGCCAGACCTGCAGCGCCGCTCCTCTCTCTATAGGTCCTCCTAAAGAGAAGACACCAGAAAAACCGACCCAATCAACTGAGCGCTGCCATGCGTCCTCCTCCACTCCTGTCCCGTGAGTTTACTATTGTGGAAGAGCGAGGAAACGAACCGTTAACTCGCAACATCTCTTATGTTTTAATGCCATTTCAGGCTTAAACATGCTGTTGTGTGCTTACAATGTTTGTTTAGGGTTTTAATTCTCCTCTTGTTGAAGGATTGACCCAGACTGCGATTTGGAGGTGGAGAGCTTCATGAGGGGTAATTGTCTTTTGTTCCAAAGTCACTGTCCAGTACAGTTCTGCGGCTGATCTACTGACAATGCATACATTAAAGAACACAGACGGATCATTTCCATAATGACCGACGTAATTTATCAAGAGGAGTGCAAAGTAGAGCACGGTCGCAAACAAGCAGAGCAAAAAAAATGTGGCTTGGCAAATTATATGTTTGGATAATGCTTTCCTCTGGAATTCCAAATAAGTTAATATAAGTGGGAAGATTCTCTCCCTTTGACTGTGCGCTCTTTTCTCTGCAGTGCCTCCTTCTGGCAGCAACAATCACAGCCGCGTCAAGCACAGAATGGGTTAAAGGGGTCATATGATGCTTTTTTTTAAAGATCATTATTTTGTGTATTTGGTGTAACAGAATGTTGACATGCTTTAATGTTCAAAAAACACATTATTTTTCAAATACTGTACATTATTGTAGGTCCTCTATGCCCCGCCTCTCTCAAACGCTTCGTTTTCTACAAAGCCCCTCCTTCCGACAAGCACAGTCTGCTCTGATTGGCCAGCTGACCCAGTGCATTGTGATTGGCCAAACACTGTAAGCACTCGTCGGAAATGTAACGCCCCTTACCATAATCACCAGCTTCATCTTTCAAAATAAATGTAAAGCCCGTAAATAACGTTATTCGTTTTACCATCAGTTCAAGCCCGAAAGGGGAACAGAGTCGC